TATGCCCGTATAAGGTGCGACCGCAGGAGCTTGCGCAGTGTCCGATGTCTCGTTTTATTTGGACGCATTGTTCGAGACAGAGAATGGAGTGTAATTGCCGATATTATTAGCGATAGTCGATTATGCATTCCATGTTGACAAAGAACACATTTTAGAATCAACCGGTTTCTAGTATATTTACTATGCTAACATGTTAATAATGCTGTGTTAATACGATGAGTTGAAATCGATTGTGTCGTCTCTTGCCCAGTTGTTGCTCTTAGACGTTTCGATACAATTCATTGTCGCCGACAATGTCGAATATTCATGGGAAACAACTTTTTATAACAAGAAGCTAGAACAAAATCGACAAGGTTTTATGTTTTGACTTTTGATAGCAAGCTTGATAAAAAGAGTCGAAGTCGATTAAATATAGCCATTTCTTAGCTACGCTCTAAAGTTTCGTACAAAAAGTTAATGTGATTTGAACTCTACATACTCGTAAAATACACAATGTTAAAATCATAAGAACTCTAATTTCAATAGCTTATAAAGCTGATTTTCCAGTAAAGCTTTAGTGATTGGCCATCAAAAATTCCTTTTCAAGTCTATCATAGGGTCAGAAAGTTCGTTAGCAGGACGTCACGCACGCTATCGGGCGACGTTTCGTCCTTCGGCACGCGTGAACGAACTACACAAGCGCGCTTCAATTGGATTCCGTATTAGTATTCATATGTAAACGTTTGAATAAAGTGTTGTACCTAGTCGGAATCGCCTTGTGTGGACGTGATGTGAACGGACGCTAAGTTCGGTAGGGATGACCAGTGCCAAGAATCAAGGCAGTTCAGTTCTTTGAGTTTATAATCCTGACTACTACTCGTATATTATCATAGATGAAGAATTCGACTTTAGAATTGACTTATTCATTATCATCATCATCAACATCATTTCAGCCATAGGACGTCCACTGCTGAACATAGGTCTCCCATCTTAATAATTTCCATGTTGATCGATTGGGTTTGACTTATTTATAGGAAGAATTTTCTTTAAAAATAAAGTTACTGTAGGTACCTACCTATTGGTTAAATTAAGGTTGTATTCAAAGTCTTATGGTCTGAAATATGAAACACAATCGATATTTCGATCGGATCAGCCCTACGCTAACTGAATCATAGCTCCGCAATGGCGAACTAAACTAAATTCAAGTTTTTGGGAACGGCACGAGTGACGCGCATACTTAATGATGTGCATTTGATTCTTTATAATCCAATTCAATTTTGATCTTGTGTTTTATTTTTAGAATATAACAAATAAAAGACTTGTTAAACAAATCGGCAAACTCAGATAGAATCATTGTTGCTTTTGTCAAAGTGCTTTGATAGCTTTTTAAGCTCTATCAACTGATTGGTTTCCTATCTTTTTATGTACAATGTCCTTTCAACGTTATCCCTTTCATTTCTGTAAAAAGCTTCGATTCGATTCCGAACTTTCTGATATTAATAAAATAAGTAATAAAGTGGCTTCAATATTGTATTTTCCGTTCAACGTTCAATTTAAAGTTGCAGAGCTTTGAAGTGGTGGAGCTGAAAAGTTACTGAATCGTGATTGGATACTTGTTTCGAACAGTTGGTCATTAAAAGTTTGTAATAAAAAACACAAAATTAGAAAAAAAGTCTCGTTACGATTGTATTCACAAGTACTTCAGTTAAAATGCCTTTTATTGGGGAAGATAGTAGAAATGTTTTTGCTTGACAACAAGAAGAACTTCTAAGTTCAAGTTCTTGCCCTAAGGGCAGGCCTGGCTCACTCCGCGCGGTACATCCGATAATTACCTACAGCGAAGCGCCCCGCCGGCGGGTATTATATCAGTCGAGTGTCACGCGCGGGCCCGTCAGGACGCTGGCGTGCGTTGTAGTATGTACCTAATTCTATGATCGAAGTATTATTTAAAAATGGACATAAAGAGAAATAAATATTGTGCGGGGTTCGGGTGTTTAAATTTGAAAAGAAATTGCTATTTTTTTCGCTTCCCAAAGATGCTGAAAGGTATGTTGGTCATGTAGGTAATCAATAATTCCTAGGATAGTATAGGAACCTAACCTACCATGACTACTGCTCAGAATGCGTTCGTTCGTTTCAGCCAAACGACGTCCACTGCTGGACAAAGGCCTCTCCCAAGGTTTTCCATAATGAATGCGTACTTACCTACATACGTACCTCATTACATATAAGTAGATTAATAAATTTTTCACTAGACAGCAACCCTAACAACGTAAGAAGAGTTCAGAGGCACGCGATAGAAAGAGACAAAACTCGTAGGTGAATAAAATTGTAGGTACGTAGTGCTGTGCGAGCTGAATTCCACTGTATCGCGTCGTAGCAAGACTCGCATTTATTTAAATCGTCTTGCGGAGTAATCCTTCTGTACCTGTACTATTACTTATTCTGTGCTAAGGGCTAGGATTCCAGTCATGCGCGCGCGCCATTTGTATGTTCGCTGCGAACAGGCAACGTTCGCTGGCGCCGTGGAAATTCCTACCCAATACTGGGAATAGCCTATTAGGTTTGTATGGGCACTTGGGCAGTGTGTATGTATAGTGACGTCATAAGGCAGCAGGAATTCGAAGTGACATGACCATGTCGTTGAGCTCGAACTTGACTACTTATGTGGCCATTGTATGGTAAAGTTGACCGCAAAATGTGTGTTCTAATTGATTAGATTTTAAAATACATAACTTCAAGTGGTAGGTAAAGTAACTTCACCAAGTACCTATTATTAGTACGAAACACTAATACCTATTTGACTCTGTCATTCTTTCATTAGTTAATTATTTGAGATATCTGATTTATTCGCAATTACAAGGCGACGCTTTGTAAACATGGCGGTTGATATGAGAACAATAGTTACTCTATTCCTGCTAGTTTAGTCTAGCGCGTGATTAACGATATTGATAACGATTGGTGAACTGATAAATTAAAAAGCAATTCTGTAGTACCTAATTGATTGTAAATATCTATGTATAGTGCTGATTTTTTTCTAATTACAAAACAAGACAGGTTTTTGACCGCAATCACACCTGATGTTAAGTGACAAACAAAATATACCTACATTTTGGTGACAAAGAAAAACAAATGCAAAACAAATATCTAGCATTACAATGACGGTTCACTTGAGGCAGAAATAGACGTTACGAATTGTGTTTAAACTAGCCGGGTCTTAACGAACTGAGCAAATATAACATAGAGTGTCTAAGCAGGAGTGTTGGCAAGGCCGCGCTTGGTCGTTGGCTTCTACTACATGGGGGGTTTACACCTGCCGAGATACGGAAACTGTTTACAATGTCACGTTTTGGCTACGTTTATTTAAAGGCAGTGAAATAATCATAAGTAATTTATTTATTTAAGACGCAAAACAGATTACAATTGAGATTTCACAAACTGTGTGGCACTTAAAGGCTAAATTGTATTGTAATCTAATTCTATCCGTTACAACATAAGTACAAATATCTCTTGCATCCTCTTCGTTGCAAGTAAATACATATGACAACAAAACCTCAAAATATCAGTTATCATTTAGTTAGCGGATTCTAACGATTAGGCTCTACCAAACCTTACGGCGTAATATCATCATAGCTTGGATAGAAAATGTTTCTTTTTACAGCACAGGTATAGGTGTGCTCGATAATATCGCTGAAGTGCCGTAAAAACTAATATTCATGACTTGACTGAAAGATTAAGATTCATGACTTAACTAAAAAAAAAATTGTAAAGAAAACAAAATACATGTGTAAGTAGGTACACAAACCTAAGTAATTTCGACATAAAAAACAGCTCAGTCATGGTCAAAATGGGGAAACAACAAGCACACGTTTAACCATCTTGAATATTCTCCTGAGACACCCAAGGTCATTGTAGTTTAACGCCTCGTCTCGTGTAAACCGGCCTTACCAATCGTAGGCTTTTACTATTTCGGTCGCGTCACGACATGCCGGTGTCACTAACTAATTTTACTATTTGGCTGAGTTGCACCGCTTAACTTTGACCGTAACTATAACGATAACTGGTGCTTTTTGTATGGAGTTTGACAGATTTTTGACGTTCGTCAAAGTTAAAGTTAGATGGTGCAACCCAGCCTCAGTGGAAAGAGTTTGTGGCGAGTCAAGGCTTTGTATTTGAGGTGACAACTCGCTTTTTGTGGCCTAATACGCCTAATAGCCCAATGATTTCCGAATCGATTTGGTTTTGCGTCATTGTGTCATTTATGGATTTTGTAGATGGCCGTTCACCGTCGACCTTGTTTATTGAGGAAAATAAATATTGGGTATTCGTTTAAAATTGAAATGTAAAGCAAGGTTTGAGAAAATGAATAAGACTTGAATTCTAAGTGAGCCTAACGAAGTAAGTAATCAAACTAATTGTATAACCATTCAATTGTCTGCATAATAACAAGCGTAGATCAAAGTGTGTACCCACGAAAGATTGAAATCACTAGGAAAATTAACAGACAACCTCCACTTTGTAGGGCGCTATTTCCTCTATGAACGTCTTTTTGTCATGGTCATGCGTTTACCTCGGCTATTTAATATAGACACCTCAAGCCAAGGTGTCTTGCTTGAGTTTCGCGGAGTTTCTTAGCAGAGCGGGGGGCGCGGCAGGTCTGGCGGGCTGGTCATTGTTTACCCAACAGTGTATTAACCTAACCAAACAGTTCCGCGAACTGACGAATATCTTTACACAACTCATTCGCAGTCGAGTGACCACACCGACTGTGGCCGGTGTCAGTGTAGAAACTCTTTTCGCGGTAAAACATGACGTTTTGTCTTTTTTTGTGTTATTTTTTCTTAAATGGCCAATTTTTCTGTTTATGTAAATAGTTTCTAACCTAAAAGAAGTTACAGAGGCCAGTTGTTTTTATGATAAACGCAGTTTAAGTCAAATCATATCAGGTTCAAAAGATAGAACAATAAACTGAAAAAAAAATACAGAGCATAAATTAATATGGACTTACCGTCACTTTTCAGGGACGCCAGCCTTCGCTCGACGGGGATGGAGGAGTGACACTTCTTCCCATGGGACCTGTCAACAGGGAGGAGGACAAGTCAAACTTCACTGGCGGCTGAAGTGACGTCCATCAACATGGCGAAAGATAATTCAATTGTAAGTGTTGAGCTTATGGAAGATATTGTCTAAGGTTTATAGAAACTTCTTGTAAATGTTGCAATTAACTAAGGCTGAGTGTGTTGAGCTTATGGAAGTTATTTTATGCGGTTTATAAAAATCTCTAGTAAATGTTGTATTGAAGGCTGAGTTTCACCAACTTACTTTAACCGTAACTATAACAATAACCGGTGTTTTTATAGAATTTAACAGAATCTGGACGTTTGTTAAAGTAATTTGGTGCAAAAAACTTTACATTTTATAGACTTAGCAAGAATTTATGTTTAAAATGTGAATGCGTTAGTTTTATGTTTGTAACTGTTTACGTTATTAAACTCTTTTAGATTGCATTTACAAAGGTATTTTATGTGCAGTCAATATTAGCAATGTGCTATTGGCAGTTTCCCAAGTTTTGTTACATTATTTATTCTGTGGTTAACGTTAATGCAATGATGATTCACGCATGCATTTACCTAGCTAATATAAAATGCATTTATATTCTTAACCCACGTCAGACATTCATAATTCATTGACGTTGTGTATAATATTTGCTTTAAACTATTTATATCCGTGCCATGCTAGTTAATTATGTTATGTTGTAAATAATATGTATTTCGATACTAACTACAATAATGTAATACATTTGTCCAAGAATAACAGAAAAAATGAAATCTTAGCTTGAGAGAACGTACATCAAATTAAGAAAATCAAAAACAGAAGAGAAGAAGATTATTCAAGAACTGAAGAATAGCGGTAGATTGGTTAATTATCTTTGGTTATCTAGCTGTATGAGTATTGTAGACATCATAAAGCTAGGTTACCGGAGTTAAGTGCCATCTACGACGACCGATGCTGATAACTCAACGAGAACTAAAGAGCAGAAGAACATAGAAGAATCGCAGAAGATCGTTTGATTGACGCTTAAAAATATAATTGTTTGACCATCTGTATACGATAGTACTATCGGCCAGGATCACCATTTGATGAGAGCGAGAGAAAAACGGAAACGGGTAGCTGGAAGTGTTTCCGATAGTACGTCACAATGTCATGATATTATGTTAGTTGTAATAGTACCTATTTTGCAATAGAAATGTATAGTCTGAGGTGGAATTTTGTAAAGCAATCGTAATCCTTTGACAGTAATAAAATATAACGTACGATAAAATCCGTTAAACAAAGCGTTTGACAGAATAATCGTACGTTATGAACTGTCAAATGATAACGATTGCTTTACACAATTCCACCTCCTGATGATGTGCTGCTGACTGTGTGTATATCAATTGAAAGCGATTGCAATAAATGCTTAGTTGCACAATTAGGAAGTCGGCTAGATTGATTTGATTTCAGGTAAGCTCAAATCAAGCAAACTAGGACTAGAGTATACGCCTCAGGCTTGGACTTGCGACTTGCAAGCAACAAGCAGTATTTAATGCTATAGGATAATAAGCACGGTTTTTATCAAATGCTTTGAAATTTATCATTTTTATACGACATTTTTAATCTAAATATACAAAAGGAGAAACTGACTGACTGACATATCAACGCACAGCCTAAACGGCTAAACGAAGGCACTTGAAATTTGAAAGGGACGTAGCTTAGGTACCTTAGAGGTGCACTAATAAAGGAATTCCCGAAATTCCCACGGGAACGGGAATTAGCGGGAAAATCCTTTTGTATGATAAATCTAAACCGCTTAAGTTAGACGCTTGAAATTTGTACCTTAGTAAACTTAAAGCTTAATTACAACAGAATATTGCAAAATTCCCACGGGAACGGGAGTTAGCGGGAAAAAATATTTGTATGAAAAAATCTAAACCGCGCGTAAGATAGATGAAGGGGGTAAAACGGGATCCACGCGTACGAAGTCGCGGGCGGCCGCTAGTATTACTATGATGATAAGACTTGGTAATACATTGAATAGCTAACCGATTGTGAGAAAGCGATATCTACTAGTAATACAGATGATGATAGAGTAAGGATTTTTATTAGGTCTATTGTTATTTTGTTTAGGTACATTTTACGATTATATTTATTTTTCTATTTTATTATTTCTTGTCTATTAGCATAGGCACAGACCATCGATTTTTAGTTGGCCGATAGTTGGATCGGGCTGTGTTAATCAGTATGGAGGTGTATGAAAGTGCGCACATTACACCGATTTGCTATCGGTCGATTCTTCATACAAATTAAAATCGGGCCTAACTATTGGCCAACTAAAAGTCGGTGGTCTGTGCCTAGGTTTATTGTATTGCAAACGTCATTCTGTGATTAACCTAATTTGTAACGTGGCTAATCCTCATGTTAACAGCAAGATTTAAACGAGATGAAAGTGGTAAATGCGTTTCTATTAACATACAGAGGTGGAATTGTGTAAAACAATCGTAATCATTTGACAGTTCATAACGTACGATAAAGTCAGTTAAACAAAGCGTTTGACAGAATAATCGTACGTTATGAACTGTCAAATGATAACGATTGCTTTACACGATTCCACCTCTGATTTTATGCAACTGTTTTTCGATTCAACACTGTTTAACTTTTACCTAAACTTTATTTATTCTTGCCAAGTTTATGAATATTCACCGAAGTATATTTTGAAAGAAACTCTATTGTTGGCAATATTGTCAAAATTGTTCGCTCAATCAACCCGAGAGTTCATTGTGCTATTTAGTACTCTACCTTCATTCAGATATTGACGTTAGGAACTAATTAATTATTAAGTTACTAATTTTAATTTTTATGTTCATTGCATGTTCATTGTAAGTTAATTGTAAACACTATGAATTATATTAATGTACAATTAATTATTACAATTACACAAGACATAATTTCTTACTAGCCGTCAATTTACTTAATTAAAATTAATATAATTAAGGCATAAGACGTTATTAATATACATAATATTAGAATATTAATAACACTCTTTGAAACGAGTGTGTCGAGTAATAAAAAAAAGAGACAAATAGTTTTGTAACAAAGACAAACATATTTTTCCAGTTAAAATAAGACAAACTTCATGCACACAAATTCTGCGAACAGTAACTCAATATCTCCCCGAACTTATGTTTGCGGGGCATATGAGTTGTAATATGATTAATGGAGTCCAGCTCTTGGCTCTAATTTGGTTTGCTCTCGCTCGAGTCTTGAACGCTTGCAGTTCTGTAGAGCGAGGGTGGAAGTTAAAATGTCACACTTTATTAACTGTACCTACCTACACCAATATTGCGACTGTGGAAGTTGAAATGTCACATACTTTATTAACTGTACGCACCTACACCAATATTTAGAAAGTTGGAAGAAGTGGAAAGTTCATGACTTGTTCAATTTTTCATTATTGATGATGTGAAAGAAAAATTGGTATTACAGATATGATATAATAGATAGATTTGAATCATTATGATTACGCTGATCTATTTGACGTTTATTATATACTAGCTTTCCGCCCGCGGCTTCGCCCGCGTGGAATTTTGTCTGTCACAGAAAAACAATATCGCGCGCGTATTTTCTCACCGTTTAGACCTACCCTGGACTACGACAAACATTTTAAAACCAAAATCAGCTCAATCGGCCCAGCCGTTCTCGAGTTTTAATCAGACTAACGAACATCAATTCATTTTTATTTATATAGATAACATTAAAGCTTTCCATATCTGTTAAAATAAAGAAACACAGGCCTCAACACAGCCGAAACGTCAAACTGTGAGTACTAATGTAACTCATATAAAATGTCAAGCGAGACCCGTGTTTCTCTATTATATTTGAAGTCTGTACTGTAGAGGTAGTAGGTAGCCTAAGTAAGTAGATAAGGCTACGTCCGTTCTCGCTCTTCATTTGATTCGTTAGTTTTACCTTGCCTAATGCATTTTGAAATATTTTTTACTTTTAAGTGTCAATAAAACTACATTTCTTTTTATTTTTCTAAGGTACTTTCTTTGATACATATTTCACCCACTTCCCAGTTTTCTATTGAGCTGAAATTTTGTAACAATGCAATATTATGATGGGACTGATCTGTTGATGGAGCTGGAAGACGGCCATAGGAACACCGCGATAAAACAATAGAGCCCCACCGAGTTTGGGCTCTCTTAATTTGTATTGATGTGTACCTACTTTAATCCTTTACAGTTTTTAGAGCAAGAATAAAAGCTTTTCATAAATTTAAATTTTAAAAACTGGCAGAGCCAAATAGTCTCTGAACATAATCGTCAAAAAATAAACAGCTTCACAGTCCATTAGCGACTTATTTCCCAGAACTTCCCTAAAACGGGAGTTAATGGATAAGCCAAGTCGCGGATTGACACCGACCAATTTTGTCGACTTGCGACGACATAAACTTTTGCCCATTAAATGTTTTGGACGCCCACTTTCTCGTTAGGGTGCGTTTACATTGACGCGAAATGAGCGCAGCGGAGCGGGCTTTTTGATTACAGGAGAGGAGGAGAACTCAGGTCAGGATAACGCAAGTTTCGATAATGGACTACATAGAAATGGTAATCCCCGTCGATCACCAATCTAATAAGGCACACAAGCAACAAACATGTATTTTGAAACATCTGAAACATCAGGTTTCTTTTTTTTAAACAAACAACTTGCAAAAATCGAACCGCCTAATAAGGCGGGACTCGAACCCACGACCTTCCGTTTGCCGGGCGACTGCTCTTCCAGTAAGCAAGCGGAAGGTCGTGGGTTCTAGTTCCGCCTTAGGCAGTTCGATTTTTTTAAGTTGTTTCTTTAAAATTTTGTTTGAGAAGCGACTCTATTCGCTAAGAAATTTAAATAACGATCAGGTCTCTTCTTTTTAAAAAGATTTCTAGTATGTAATTCCAGTTAATCCTTTGAACCAATTAAATATAAGCTTGTTATAAATATTTACTATGCTTGTGCTAAGAATGGGTTTACCTTCGAGTGGCATGTGAAACTTATGAAAACACCACTGCGCTTCACCCAGCTTCGACACAATGGAATCATACCCTTAAAATCGGACAGTCCCGGGATTTGCCGGGATCGTTCTGAATAATTGATGTCGATTTGGTCGAATTCATCACTTATTCACTTAACTTAAAATATGTTTTATGATCATTACGGAAAATAGTAGGTATGTGATAATAATACATTGTATTTTGGATAATATCTTCAACAGCTAATAAATCTATTAGCTGTTGAAGATATTATTTCTTCATGGTCCTTTTTCATGGAAATCTATTCGTTCTACGATGCTTCAGCCATATTGTGTGGACGCCTTGGTGTTTAAAATAGAGAAATAACTCGATAGACAGACAAACAGGCACAAACAGACAGGCTATCTTATTTAGTCTGTTTTCATTATTGTATTTAGACAGAACGGTCTGATCCTAACACAAGATGGCAAAACTTAAAAGGATTAGCTCCAAAACTTTGTTATGTGACTTGTTTGTATGAATAAAATATTTTGTATTTTTTGTATTTAAAAAAGTATGTTTTTTGTTTAGCAAGTAATAATATTTTATGTATTACTAGCTTTCCGCCCGCGGCTTCGCCCGCGGAATTTTGTCTGTCACAGAAAAACTTTATCGCGCGCGTCCCTGTTTCAAAAACCGGGATAAAAACTATCCTATGTTCTTTCCCGGGACTCAAACTATCTCTATGCCAAATTTCATCAAAATCGGTTGCGAGGTTTAAGCGGGAAAGCGTAACAGACAGACAGACAGACAGAGTTACTTTCGCATTTATAATATTATATAGTTGGGATGTATAATCAAAGAACCACTTTAATTATTCCAGTGAACCTATCAGCGCTGGACGCAGACCGCTACCAATCGATCAACATGGAAAGCATTGGGGGAGGATCAGCAGTGGACGTCTTATGGCTAAAATGATGATGATGAGTTGCACAATCTTATTTTAACTTTGACAAACGTCAAAAATCTGTCAAACTTCATCTAAAAAGCGCTGGTTATTGTTACTGTTACGGTTAAAATAAGGCAATCCAGCCATAATGTTTTGGCAACATGGAAGCAACAGACAAGTGAAAAACCCCATTAAAATGCTAATATTGGTAAATGAAGACATTTGTATGGAAATTAAAGGGTTTAATAAATGTACCTGGTCTTCTTCAGAGCCCTTTTCTTGGCTGGTTAATGCAAGACTATCGTGTAAAAATACATTCATTTTTCAAAATAAGGTTCTCAAGATTATGGATGGTATGACTGGATTAATGTTAGAGGACGGATGTATTGTGTAAGTACGTACTTGCCTATCTTCATGATAGTAAATAATACAAAATGACGTTGAATATAGCAGATTTATTCATTAAAATATTTGGATGCGCCAATTTAAAGCTGCATCTAAACTAAAATTACAGAATTTTGAAATTGTACATAATTATAACCTTTATGAATCTCAAAGCCTTTCCTACGTAATCTTTATTAACGTTTTTGATTTGATAAAGCTACAATCATCCACTGATTTATTGATAAAATGGGGACGTAACGAATTAAATCCTCAAAGACTTAGACTTAGGTCTCACCTCTAGACAGGCCGATTATTTATTGTCTCTGCCTTTTACAGACGAAATGAAAAGCATGAAATACGATTACTAACTTAGCCCACCGTGGCCAAGTAATAAGAGTTTCCCCATGAACTGGAGCACCAACTTTAATATTAGCCAGCGGTCGCGATTTGCGATTCAAAGCCGGCACCTGTGGAGTGCCGATTAAAATATTGAAATGGGCTCCGAGAACCCGCCTAGTTAGTAGTTACGTGCTCCTATTTGCAAGAAATTGCTGCGGGAACAATGTTTTCTGATTGAAAAGTAAGATTTTCTAAGTTCATAAGCAGACGTAATTATAGCTGTTCATCATCATCATCATCATCTCAGCCATAGGACGTCCAATGCTGAACATAGGCCTCCCCCAATGCTTTCCACGTTGCCCTGTTGGTAGCGGCCTGTGTCCAGCGCCTTCCTGCTACCTTTATGATGTCGTCGGTCCTACTTGTAGGTGGTCGTCCCACGCTGCGTTTTCCGGTACGCGGTCTCCACTCCAGAACTTTGCTGCCCCATCGGCCGTCAGTTTTCCGTACTATGTGCCCTTCCCATTGCCACTTCAGCTTGCTAATCCGTCGGGCTATGTCAGCGACTCTAGTTCGTTTGCGAATCTCCTAATTTCTAATTCGATCTCGTAAAGAAACACCGAGCATTATAGCTGTTATGACAGTTTAATTAAAAGGTTTATTAACATCGTGGGACATTTTATGACACTCTTGAATTTTAGGACTCCTGTTGAAAAATATACGCTGGGGTATTAGAATTTTAAGTTTAAGGTCTATACGACACAACTCCTAAACTTTTTACAAACTTGCTTGCTAAAACTGTCGAAATTCTTATACTTACTTTTAACTTTGATATGAACTAACTAGGATGTATGAGTTCAAACATTAATCAGCACCAAGCACCTGTAGAGTGGTGATTATAATATTCAAATGTGCTCCTGGAAAGACGCCCAGTTACGCGCGCACACTGGCGATGATGTTTCCTCATAGATATTAATATTTAACTCTTACGTTGTTAATGGCTACGTGGATATAATATTCATGCGGGAATTGGTGTCTATTGGTAAGTACGGACAGTAAGTTTTGGTACTCACATGATTTTGTAAGATATTAAGCTTTCGAGTTCCATTTTTACAATTAAAATAAGTAGTCAGTCAGCTTGTGACCATGGTTGTAGCAATAAAGCCTATACGAGTACTCCAACATATTACCTGAATGTCGCGCTGAGACCTATAATGACATGATTCAAAAGAAAATGTCCTATCATCAGGGATGAAAATGATCGTACAGGATAATTTCATCATTAATGTAGCTTTTTTTAGACAAACTACATTTGCGTGGTGTCAATGCGTTAAAAATATGTATTCAGCCCAAGCGTCTTTTTATTCTACCTGTCATCTTCGAAAACTTATTACTTCATGGTAGTTAATAAGTATGGCGGAAAATATTTATGTAGCGCGCTCCAGATTCCGCGTGACAAGATGGGTCCATTAGCAAATTGGTGCTTATTTATTACAAATTCCTTGAATGGCGCCCGTTTCATACGAATAAGTGTCGTGGAGGTATCGAACGAATAAATCAAACGAGACTTGTGAAACTTGTCCTGATACCTACTTGGGAATGATTTAGTAGTTTACTAGTGAAGTTTTTTTGTAGAACGAGAATAAATAATGTAAGTATTATGGCACGTTTATGGGCTTTAATTAAAATATGCAAATGTAATTGTTATTCACTGAAATTAATTGAATAGTCACACCTGGTTTTGAAATGAATAGGCAGAGCCTTTGGCTATGGCGACTGACTTAAATAAATTAGGGCAAACATTTTTCCTTGTGTGGTACCTACTTGAACTCAACATGTGGTATGCTACTTTATTGTAACTGTTTATCACAAATTGAGCAAATCTTAGTATAGTTTCGAGCTATGCCTCGAATTTAAATTAGCAAAATGTGTTTCATAGATATAAACTTTTAAATGTCGTTACTTATCTATAAATACACAATTTGCAATGTTAAGCATCGATTTTTGATATTTAGCCACTAAAGCGCTGAAAATGTAAAGTAAAAATTAAGCACGTTAGCAATGCATCCTCAAGTATGTGGCATACAAACGAACGCGCCGCTTCCGCCCTGTGTACACGACAAACACCGCAACTGTTGGCTCGTGACAACACTTTTCACTTTGCGCAAAAACGATCCTCTGTTCATACTTTGCGTTTTACTTGGCGAGAAATAAATAAATAAAGGACAGTCCAGCCTCTTACGTGTCAATTTGACGGAAGGAATAATAGGTACGAGTACTTAAGGACTCTACACACCAAGTCTGCTGACAGCCCCGGCAGTTTGACTTGGCATGTCGACTGCATATGTAGACTGCATTAAATGAGATACACTATTAAAGGAACTTTATTTTTAGGTAGTGGTAGGTAAGTTTTTAATGTGATAAGTAGTTAGGTAGAGTCGATTTTATGTTTAAAAAAAAATTGACAGTGAAACAGGGAATGAAATCCTAAAGCGAATCTACTTTGAAATGAATTCATCGCTTTAATGTACCCATGTAATTCAAATATTTATATTACTAGGTGTACCGACGATCTGGTGAAGATTGCGGGAGGTGCCTGGATGCTGGCGGCGCAGGACCGATCTTTGTGGAAATTCTTGGAGGAGGCCTTTGTCCAGCAGTGGACGTCATTCGGCTGAAACGAACTAACATCATTATAGTTCAGAGTTATTAGGTTTCCACTTCAAAAGGACGATACTCTAATTTACAAGAGGTAAATGAATAATTTGGTATACACTTCCCACGCTGATCAGACGTGTTAGGGAGGCCTGATGTTCGCATATTTCTCCCTTATTCGCCTCTTTTGATAACCAAAAAGGCTTATTCTATTCTACTCTATTGGAACCACATGGCTATTTCTCTATATCTATTTTACAAATCAAATAGTTTCTTCAGTACATAGGCCCTTTCCAGGGAGATTATACAGGTCCCAAATATAGCTTGCCTTACCACCACTTCGGGAGAACATACGGGCTGGTGCTAAAAAGAAGTGATGGAAGAAACTCAGTCACGTTTGTTAGCCTCTTTTCAATTTCTATTTTACAAATCCTTGTTTCTTTTGCAGCGCGCGTGGCGATAGTCTGGGCATCCCGGCGGGCTGGCTGTGCTACTTAGCGCCGGAGCTGGTGCGGGCGCTTCGCCCCCACGCGTCGCTCCACCTGCCTTTCTCTAAAGCCACCGACGTTTATGCGTTTGGGTAAGTCATCATCCCCTAATGATGGCCCTTGGGCCCCTGCCCAAGACAAGAGGCACTTTTTAATGCTCCGAAAATCCATACAACTAATAACTCCATACAAAAAAACGCCGGAGTGAAGTACTTTCGAAATTACAACTGTCACAATTTGCAACATGTCTGGAGAGCCAGGTTATTTGGTCTCCACTGCAGCACGACTTAATTTACTAAAGGCAATGAGGATTTGGCTTACACTTCCCACGTTTCTACGCAACGTTCTACCGACCACAACTAAAGTCCGGTCGCTGAGCAGATAGAATTTCTTCAAAAGTTTGGATGTCATTGGACGAAATTCTATGTGCTCGGCGCCGGTCGCCGGTGGTTGGCGACAAGCTTTAGTAACATGTTTTTCAACACAAATAGAGTGTGGTGTTCACGCGACATGCCACCAGTGGCGGCCACTCGATACACCTTCCTTTCGATACTTAACAAAGGACATGACAAGCAAGTTCAAACTTAATTGTTTTTTTTACAACATACAGGACTTTGAACTTTTTCTATTTTACATTTGTTATGGGTGTAAATACTTCTGAATCAGCTAGGCCTAGTATTTATCTAATAATTAGCTTTCCGCCCGCGGCTTCGCCCGCGTGGAATTTTGTCTGTCACAGAAAAACTTTATCGCGCGCGTCCCTGTTTCAAAAACCGGGATAAAAACTATCCTATGTTCTTTCCCTGGACTCAAATTATCTCTATGCCAAATTTCATCAAAATCGGTTGCGAGGTTTAAGCGGGAAAGCGTAACAGACAGACAGACAGACAGAGTTACTTTCGCATTTATAATATTAGTTGGGATGTAGCTAAATAAGTACTAAGAATGATTACTCTAAGTACGTATATTCACGTTTTGTTAAACTTAAGGCAATGAATCTTCCTTAAGTTTTGTTGCTGTCAATCACTTGTTAGGCGTTTATCGACGCCTTGAGAAAGTTCGCTTTTCAACTTTTCAGTACAATTTGCACTTTACATTTTGATCACTTTGCCATTTGTTTTTTAAATAAGGAAAACAAAGCATGAAAATTTAATGGGAAGTAAAAAGATAATTGAAAACACACGTGCCTGACTGAATCTGTTTAAAAATTTACTCTTTCACTTTTTATTTTAATAACAGCTCACGCCTGAATAAATGTGACTGCAATTTCTTAGTTACGTGATTACGCTCATTTTTTACATGAAGGTTCTTAAAGAAAGAAAGTCTTCTGATAAATGTACGCACAATAAGTACCTACGTATTACATCGACACTGAGAAAGTAATTTTATCGGCACGGTTGTCAAAGTGAGTTTGATATGGCAGACTAAACGACATCAAAAGACATAGGCTCCTAAAGAAAACGACAATGCGACATGAATATCTGAACAGGTTTCCTCGCTATTAGTACTCATAATATGACTTAGTTAGACTTTTTCAGACACATTTAGAGGCAGCAGTTCGCTATGAGTTAGGAAATTAAAAATAGAGAAACACGTACGTTTCTGAATGAAAGTGACCACGGCTGTAACAACACCAAAAATGTTGTGTTGAGTGATACCGTTGAGTTGTTGAGTGTTTATCTATTTTAATTGAAATGGAACACAAAAGTTTAAATAGAGTTAGGAAATTAGAAAATATTTTCAATTAGGTACTTACACTTATATCAAGAAATGTTCTCTATGATGCTTGTTAGTTGGTAGATTAGCGAGATATTTTTCTGATTAGCTCCTCGCTCAGTAGTCGTCGTGGATTAATAAGTAATGTTTGTTCTCCAGACGTCGGTCCCGGCGGGAGTCGGACGCTGTCTTATTGGGGATTACACAGTAGTTTCGAGATAGGAGATATCGAACTTATCATCCATATGTCTGAAATATTATTCGTATCTAATACGATATGATAGTAACAGGAAACTTTCACAGGGGAAGTCCCCCAAACACTCAGACGTAAACAGAAGTCGCTGGTATATACCTCACAATATACATATCTAAGTAAGTATTTAAAAAAGACTTGTATTGTCTGAGCCGTATTTAATTCTACTGTATTCACCCTGTATTTTGATGCAAAATATTGTAAAGTCTTATCAAAATCCAATCTGCAGTTTGCAATAAGTAACCATACAAAATAGAATTATAGATCATAAAAATATGAAGTGCCAAAATGTCACTGAAACTATTTATACTGTGCTATCTCCGGTGCATCGCGGACGTTGATCAACACCGGCGCGTCCCTGGCCAATTTGTAAGCGAACTATCTCGTTTTGAAGTAAGCTCCGAGCTTTTAACTTATAACAGCTGCAACAACTGTTCACAAAATTAACTCGCGATTTAAATAACGTACAGAAATAAATACAATATTTTTACTTTTTAACAGCTCTAAGTATACATTCCATATCGTGTTAGTATTTTTTTTTAATTTTAAAGTATTTTATTTTTTATTTTATTTATTTATATTAGGTGTACCCGTATTATCTGTTGATAGAGATTGTAAGATTTACCTACAAAGGTGAACACGCAAACACTGCGTCGTTGACTGAAGCGTCTGTACGAAAAATTATTTAGTGCTTATTTTTTACTTTTAGAAACCAACTGTTAAGGCTTTAAAGTTTTTTCGAAACACGCAACGCAATTTTGCGAAACACTTGTAGCTCTAAGAAACTTAAGTTCCTTTTAATGAACATTTATAATCCAGCTTTACTGTCCTACATTTACAGGGTACACAAAATAAAACTTTTCTACGACTTTTCTAATTAAAACTTCAACCTTTGAATCTTGTCAACACTCTTACCCTAGTTCGTAGTAAACAAACCAGACCGTTGCGGAGGCAATTTTGCGCATTGTAAGTATCGAAGAATTCAAGTGAATTTCCTTCTGAAAATACTTTAGGGTTGCCAATTTCAAAGATTTCATAGATAGTTACAAAAAAACTTCATATTAATATAGGTATTTAATTAAAATCAATTGAACAGAGTGCTTGCTACAGACAAAAAACCCTCTTGAGTGTTCATGTTCAAGTTCTATCAATGGAAAAAGTTAGTAGTTTCTTAACTGAATCGGACAGTTTGGCACATTCTATCAATTATGACTATGCAATGATGAGAATCAAACAATAGTGTTAACTACTAGTTCTAAATAAAGAGGAAAAGAGTTTTACAATTCTTGGTAATTTCGGTTGCCCGGGCAGAACTAGCAACTAAAATAGAAAATTACTCTGACCTCAAAACTTCAATAGGGATGTTTCCTGGGTCAAAAAGCAAGAGTTTTAATTCAGTTTTAGTCAGTTAACTTATAAAAAAATACTCTACACGTATTTTTCACTTTTTCAAACTAATGAAAATTGAAAGACATAAAGCGCGCCAAAGTTCATCAGTGTACCTACCATGAGTTTACGTTAGGTGTGCTCGCTAGCGAAAACGTCAAAAATCTCTATGGAGATTTTGTTTCTTGAAAGTAGCCGCTAGGGGCGCTGCACAATATGTCATACAATTAATGTCATTTATTTACGCAGTCGCTAGCGAGCACACCTAACGTAAACTCATGGTAAGCACACTGAAGAGGCCCGTGACGTCAATGCGTGCATAAAAGTGCCGCACGTTGTGACGTCGTGCGGAACTTCAACGCACCATAACTATGTAATTATTTGTTAGATTGACAAATAAAAATATATTATTATGTGTCCAATATTTTTTGATATTAAACATGACGGACTAAAAAATTTTTTTTAGGAAACTAGCCTATTATGACTATGCAATGATGAGAATCAAACACTATAGGTATCTGTATTTATTTAGAACTAGTAGTCCTAGAAAAGAAAGAGGAAAAGAGTTTTTACAATTCTTGGTAATTTCGGTTGCCCGGGCAGAACTAGCAATTAGAATAGAAAATTACTTTGACCTCAAAACTTCAATTGTTTTGGCCGAACTCTTTAGTGCTCGTCACCCCTGTAGCTTGTTATTCTCAAGTGCGAACCGCTGAAAATACCTACACATGTCTGCAACACAGAACAGAATGCATTCTCGTCCTAGGTAGCCGAAATACTACTTTTATTTCCTAGGAATTTATAATAAAGGAGCTAGCGGAACAGTGCAGTAAACTTCGAAGGTGTTGCAGTTATTGGTATTTTTATGTCACGAACTTGTGGCTGAAACGAAAGAAATAAATAAAGATTTGATATTTTGGCTTTAGAAATAATGAAATATAAGTTACAATTAAACGTGTTTCGCATTAATTTTTAGACGTTCATAAACAAAGACGTGCGATGTGGAAGTCATTGAGGGAGGCCAATGTTCAGCTGTGGACGTCCTGTGGCTAAAATAATGATGATGATGATGAAATAAATATCCAAGGATATTTTACACTGCTGACTGTACCATCTAGTTCCCAAACTCAAAAATATATCATACAAAGTGACTTCACAGATTCAAGATATTCGATTAAAACGGATACATTCTTAGCCTCAATAAAAATACGTCTTTAATCTACAATGCATGTTATTTTTGTATATCAGGCAATTTGAATCCTAAATCCGAACAGAGCAATGACATTTTATTGCCAACTTGTATCACAAATAGCCTTTCAGATTCGGTCATAAATCTCTTTCGGATATAAAATGTCGAAGCTTTCCTCGGCTTCAGTAGAATGTAACTGCAGTACTACCCACATGAGGAATGACGGGCGTTTGTCGATAGTCAATATTGTCGGGAAATCGTTCAGTGATGGTTAGTGATATAACCTATTTTAAAAAAAATACGAATTTCTATTTTGAGTACCTAGTTCATTCAAGACATCCATTGCTGGACAAAGGCCAGGCTTGGGGGAGCCAAGGATTTCCACAAAGACTGGTCCTGTGCCGCTCGCCGGGCCCCCGCGACCTTCACCAAATCGTCGGTCCACCTAGTGGGAGGCCTGCCCACGCTACGTCTTCCAGCTCGTGGTCGCCACTCAAGAACTTTCCTGCCCCAGTGACCTTCAGCTCTACGAGCTATGTGCC